GTTAAATCGTTGGAGGAGGAAAGGGGGTGTTTGTAAGCCGAAGAACACCATCCCAACCGTGAAGCACGGGGGTGGCAGCATCATGCTGTGGGGTGCTTTGCTGGCAGGAGGGTCTGGTGCACTTCACAAAATAGATGGCATCATGAGGAAGGAAAATTATGTGGATATATTGAAGCAACATCTCAAGACATCAGTCAGGAAGTTAAAGCTTGGTCGCAAATGGGTCTTCCAAATGGACAATGACCCCAAGCATACTTCCAAAGTACTAATTGACTGTATGTAAACTTCTGTCCCACTGGGAATGTGATGAAAGAAATAAAAGCTGAAAGAAATAATTCTCTCTACTATTATTCTGACATTTCACATTCTTAAAATAAAGTGGTGATCCTAACTGACCTAAAACAGGGAATTTTTACTAGGATTAAATGTCAGGAATTGTGAAAAACTGAGTTTAAATGTATTTGGCTAAGGTGTATGTAAACTTCTGACTTCAACTGTATATTAAGTTTTTGAAGCACAGTAATGTACGACAAGCCGGTGGCAAGGATGTGACCCTGTGTCCCAACAGCATGCCTAAAACTCCTGCACAGCTAATTTGCATAACCTAGGACCTAGGTGCATTTACTATCAGAGGTCAGAGAGGGGGCGGAAGGATATGGACTGTACCCCTCAAAGCACCAAAATAACATCAGAGGTCAGAGAGGGGGCGGAAGGATATGGACTGTCCCCCTCAAAGCACCAAAATAACATAAGAGGTCAGAGAGGGGGCGGAAGGATATGGACTGTACCCCTCAAAGCACCAAAATAACATCAGAGGTCAGAGAGGGGGCGGAAGGATATGGACTGTACCCCTCAAAGCACCAAAATAACATCAGAGGTCAGAGAGGGGGCGGAAGGATATGGACTGTACCCCTCAAAGCACCAAAATAACATCAGAGGTCAGAGAGGGGGTGGAAGGATGTGGACTGTACCCCTCAAAGCACCAGAGAGGGGGCGGAAGGATATGGACTGTACCCCTCAAAGCACCAGAGAGGGGGCGGAAGGATATGGACTGTACCCCTCAAAGCACCAGAGAGGGGGCGGAAGGATATGGACTGTACCCCTCAAAGCACCAGAGAGGGGGCGGAAGGATATGGACTGTACCCCTCAAAGCACCAGAGAGGGGGCGGAAGGATATGGACTGTACCCCTCAAAGCACCAGAGAGGGGGCGGAAGGATATGGACTGTACCCCTCAAAGCACCAGAGAGGGGGCGGAAGGATATGGACTGTACCCCTCAAAGCACCAAAATAACAACAGTTACATGTAGAAGACACATTTACTGAGACTAACTACGACTAACGACTAGCCTATCACATTTCCTTTAAAGCTACAGCTCAATCTTTCTCATGATAGTTACTCTTATCTCATAACTAATTTGTTGGCATCTTCAAGTTTCCCAGATGTATTCTTTGACCTATTCTACACATGTACTGTGTTATAGCAAGGTTATAGCTAGTTTATAGATTAAGTAAAAAGTAAAGGATCTTGACTTGTCGTCAGTGGTGGACAAAGTACCCAATTGTCATAGTTGAGTAAAAGTAAAGATACCTTAATAGAAAATGACACAAGTAAAAGTGAAAGTCACCCAGTAAAATACTACTTGAGTAAAAGTCTAAAAGTATTTGGTTTTTAATGTACTTAAGTATCAACAGTAAATGTAATTGCTAAAATATTTTTAAGTATCAAAAGAAAAAGTAAAAGTATAAATCATTTCACATTAATTATATTAAACAAACCAGACGGCACAATTTTCTAGTTTTTTATTTTATTTACGGCTAGCCAGGGGCACGCTCCAACACTCGGGCATCATTTACGGCTAGCCAGGGGCACACTCCAACACTCGGGCATCATTTACGGCTAGCCAGGGGCACACTCCAACACTCGGGCATCATTTACGGCTAGCCAGGGGCACACTCCAACACTCGGGCATCATTTACGGCTAGCCAGGGGCACACTCCAACACTCGGGCATAATTTACGGCTAGCCAGGGGCACACTCCAACACTCGGGCATCATTTACGGCTAGCCAGGGGCACACTCCAACACTCGGGCATCATTTACGGCTAGCCAGGGGCACACTCCAACACTCAGACATCATTTACGGCTAGCCAGGGGCACACTCCAACACTCGGGCATCATTTACGGCTAGCCCGGGGCACACTCCAACACTCGGGCATCATTTACGGCTAGCCAGGGGCACACTCCAACACTCAGGCATCATTTACGGCTAGCCAGGGGCACACTCCAACACTCGGGCATCATTTACAAACAAAGCATTTGTATTTAGTGAGTCCACCAGATCAGAGGCAGTAGAGATGACCAGGGAAGTTCTCTTGATAAGTGTGTGAATTTGACAATTTTCCTGTCCTGTTAAGCATTTAAAATGTTATTGGTTAAGTACATTTGGTTATCAGGGAAAATGTATGGAGTAAAAAGTACATCATTATCTTTAGGAATGTAGTGAAGTAAAAGTAGTCAAAAATATAAATAATAAAGTAAAGTACAGATACCCAAAAAAACTACTTAAGTAGTACTTTAAAGTATTTTTACTAACTTTACTTTACACCACTGCTCGTTGTCCAGTAACCTACAGAACAGGTTTGTAGCTCAAATGGTAGAGCACGGCGCTTGTAACGCCCAGGGTAGTGGGTTCGATCCCCGGGACCACCCATACGTAAAAATGTATGCGCGCATGACTGTAAGTCGTTTTGGATAAAAGCGTGTGCTAAATGGCATATTATTATTATTAATCTAGTACACCTTCGGTGTACCCGAGTGGACAGGTTGTGCCCTGACCAAGCTCTGTATCGTGTAGTATTTGTTCCCCAGCTTAGGGCAGGCTCTGTCTCTCTCACCTCTGTGTACGTATCTGCCTCGTTCCTCATCATGATGAAGGCTTGGAGCTCTCCGTCCGACTCTGCATCACCCATGGAGGTCCTGGGGCTGCTCCAGGGGACCCACTCCTGCTCCTCTGTCCTCCAAGGCAGGCCCTCCTGACCCGGGCTTGGGTCACTGTGGCTGGACACGCTGGCTCTGGAGGTCTGCGTCTTGGAGGTCCGAGTCCTGGAGGAGGTCCGAGTCCTGGCGCTCTGCATTTTGGAAGTCTCATATCTGGAAGACCAGAGATAAGTTTAAGTTCATGTTGAAGTAGTCTCTCTGTCTCTTGTCACAGATTTGGTTCTGGTTCTGGTTCCTTATAGTCCCAGGATCCCTGATTTGACTGAGCCTTGCCCGTGAAAGTGCTGTGGTTCAGTAAGGAGTAGCCTAAACACATGCTGACCTGAGAGATTCTCCTAAACATAGTCTACATACCAGATTACAGAGGCTTCACATACGCTGCTTGTTTTATATCTTGGGCAGTGTGCCATGAAAAAAAAAAAAGACTTTGCTATATATATTTTCCCCATTCAGAAGAATCTCTAGGTCCGAATTAAATAGACTAGAATAGGTTCCCATTGCATGCCCACTATTTTAATAAAGCCTATCATTTAAAAAAAGCATGCACATGATATTCCAGAGGAAACGTGACGAAGTATGAAGTGTATCATAAAACAACAATATTCTTACCGTAAATCTTAATATTCTTACCGTAAAATAGAGTTCTCCTCATCTTTGTTCTCCTCATGACTCCGCCAGCAACAACTATACAACGCCCCCATCAGACCCAAGGGAAGTCATGAACTGTGCATCATCCAGAAAATCTGACTATCCGAAGAATATCCTTACAATTTCCTCAGGTTTTACAATAAAATACATTCATATTCAGTATCCACTGAAGTTCCCAACAACATTCCGTCACAGACGCAACTCTGAAAACGTGTGCGTCTTGCTCTCACGGTCCGTTGGGGCGCAGCGCTGAAAACATTTGAGCACGTGAGTCCATTCAAGAAGCGTGACCAACCATGCGACAGTGTATCTGGAACCAGTGAATGGAACATTTATTCAGCCACCGGTGGAGATTAGCTATTAGCTCTGTTGAGTCCTCTCTCCCATGCATTTACTCCTATGTATCTGTGCTCTGGGAGCATTTATGTAGACAAACAGCTATGGGGCAAACTGGGACTAGAAAGGGGAGGGAAGGATGTTAGCTCTGCAGCCCTAGCTACAGTTTGTATGCCAGATATGTGATAACTATATTTTCACATTGCTGGACGTTACAGGTTAGCTTATACAAAACGCCGCCGTAGATTTTTCAACTAACCTGGACTGGTGTTCTCCTCAGTGTATGGGCTGACCTACGAGGGCTGAAACAGAAACCTGGACTGGTGTCCTCCTCAGTCTATGGACTGGTGTCCTCCTCAGTCTATGGACTGACCTACGAAGGCTGGAACAGAAACCTGGACTGGTATTCTCCTCAGTCTATGGACTGACCAACGAGGGCTGAAACATCACTTTTCTCAAGGTAGGCTACAACACTGTATTTACACTTGTCCCTTAGTCTAGTGTAGTGGTTCTCAACCTGGGGTACCTGACCTATCATATCCTACTTGGGAAGACTCAGAACTCAGATGCACATGAGGGGGTCACTTCAAACAGAGCAAAATGTGATAGAGTAACCCCCCAAAAAAAGGTTGAGAACCATTGCTCTCCAACCAATGAGGGAAAGCTTCACTTTGGCGCTCCTTCTTGGACGTATTGTATTCACACAAGCCAAGACCTGTGTTGCTTTCTGCATCTGGTAAGGAGCACTTAGATCTATATGTGGATGTACTCAGATATGTTTCTCTGTTTCATTGCTGCCTGACAGATATGTCTGCAGAACTGTTACACAGGGTATATAACTAACTGTTATACAGGGTATATAACTAACTGTTATACAGGGTATATAACTAACTGTATACAGGGTATATAACTAACTGTTATACAGGGTATATAACTAACTGTTATACAGGGTTTATAACTAACTGTTATACAGGGTATATAACTAACTGTTATACAGGGTATATAACTAACTGTTATACAGGGTATATAACTAACTGTTATACAGGGTATATAACTAACTGTTATACAGGGTATATAACTAACTGTTATACAGGGTATATAACTAACTGTTATACAGGGTATATAACTAACTGTTATACAGGGTATATAACTAACTGTATACAGGGTATATAACTAACTGTATACAGGGTATATAACTAACTGTTATACAGGGTATATAACTAACTGTTATACAGGGTATAGAACTAACTGTTATACAGGGTATATAACTAACTGTTATACAGGGTATATAACTAACTGTTATACAGGGTATATAACTAACTGTTATACAGGGTATATAACTAACTGTATACAGGGTATATAACTAACTGTTATACAGGGTATATAACTAACTGTATACAGGGTATATAACTAACTGTATACAGGGTATAACTAACTGTATACAGGTATAAACTAACTGTTATACAGGGTATATAACTAACTGTTATACAGGGTATAGAACTAACTGTTATACAGTGTATATAACTAACTGTTATACAGGGTATATAACTAACTGTTATACAGGGTATATAACTAACTGTTATACAGGGTATATAACTAACTGTTATACAGGGTATATAACTAACTGTATACAGGGTTTATAACTGTAATTATAGTATATCCTGACAGACTATAAACATGGGAGCTGGCCAGTGTATATATCCTGACAGACTATAAACATGGGAGCTGGCCAGTGTATATATCCTGACAGACTATAAACATGGGAGCTGGCCAGTGTATATATCCTGACAGACTATAAACATGGGAGCTGGCCAGTTCAGATATTACATGTCATTTATAACACAGGCTGTTGTCTGTCTCCTAGTGATTGGGGTATCATTTGACTGCTGCCATGACAACTACTGTGGCACTGGGGCTGTCTCTCAGATGGAGTCCCAGGCAGTGACAGAGTTTTTAGGGAGCAGGACAGATGACATCCTCTGTTACCTGACCATCCACTCCTCTGGACAACTAATACTGCTGCCCTACGGACACCCACAGATACAGGCCACCCACAGATACAGGCCACCCACAGATACAGGCCACCCACAGATACAGGCCACCCACAGATACAGACCACCAACTATGACGAACTGGTGAGGGGTAGGGGCGTGTCTCTGTTTTTTCCTGGATTCCTACATCGTGTCTCAGATGTCCCAGGTTTTTAATCAATTTAATAGGAATCTCTTTTCATGTAGGTGAAAGTGGGTAAAGCTGCAGCAGAGCTCACGAAGTCAGTTCATGGGATGAACTACAGGATGGGAACCTCACCTCAAGTCCTGTGTAAGTCAGCCCCACCTAACAGCATACTGTATCATACCCTCTTAAAGCTAACTTCACTCTCTCATTACCCTATAAGTCAATGTAAAAAAATGTAAATATTGACCTGGCCAGATCGGCATGCAGATTAGCCTTCCCTCTCCTTTTCAGATCCTAACTCTGTGTCAGTTGGTGCTGTAGGTGGGTGTGGTGCAGGAATCAGTTGCAGGACGCAGAAAGATAAGTCCAATAGACTTTAGTGAACAGCACACTCAAATTCACGAGTCAAACGCCCGGAGGCGAGAAAGTCCGCACACAGGCGAAAACCAAAAGACGCACAAACAGTGCGTAAATAACCTCCTAAACACAGAGGAGGAAAATATGAAATGCACAAGGCAAACAGTAGCGCACAAAACGCGACAGCGAAACAATAACACACAAACAAAGACACACACAACGAGAACTAAATAGAACACTAACGAGTACTAACTAGACACAGGTGTACAACATCAAGACCAAACCAAACAAACATGAAACATAGATCGGTGGCAGCTAGTACTCCGGAGACGACGACCGCCGAAGCCTGCCCGAACCAGGAGGAGGAGCAGCCTCGGCCGAAACCGTGACAGTACCCCCCCCCTTCACGCGCGGCTCCAGCCGTGCGCCGACCCCGGCCTCGGGGACGACCAGGAGGACGCGGAGCAGGGCGCGCGGGATGGTCCCGGTGGAACTCCGACAGGAGAGATGGGTCTAGGATGTCCCTCCACGGCACCCAGCACCGCTCCTCCGGGCCGTACCCCTCCCACTCCACGAGATACTGGAGACCCCCCATCCGGAGTCCAAGATGGACCGAACGGTGTACGCCGGAGCCCCCTCGATGTCCAATGGGGGCGGAGGAGTCTCTCCTATCTCATTGTCCTGGAGTGGACCAGCTACCACCGGCCTGAGAAGAGAAACATGGAACGAGGGGTTAATATTCTTATATTCAACAGGTAGATGTAACCTATAACACACCTTGTTCAATCTTCTCAGGACTTTAAAGGGCCCCACAAACCGCCGACCCAGCTTCCGGCAGGGCAGGCGGAGGGGCAGGTTTCTGGTAGAGAGCCAGACTCGATCTCCGGGTGCGTACACCGGCCCCTCACTGCGGTGGAGATCGGCGCTCGCCTTGTGACGAAGGACGGCCCGCTGCAGGTGGACGTGGGCAGCGTTCCACGTCTCTTCCGAGCGCCTCATCCAATCATCCACCGCAGGGGCCTCGATCTGGCTCTGCTGCCACGGTGCCAGAACCGGCTGGTAACCTAATACACATTGAAAAGGGGTTAGGTTAGTAGAGGAGTGGCGGAGAGAGTTCTGGGCCATCTCGGCCCAGGGAATGTAACGCGCCCACTCCTCAGGCCGGTCCTGGCAATACGACCTCAGAAACCTACCCACATCCTGGTTGACACGTTCTACCTGCCCGTTACTCTCCGGGTGGTACCCCGAGGTAAGGCTAACCGAGACCCCCAAACGCTCCATAAACGCTCTCCACACACGGGAGGTAAACTGGGGGCCTCGATCAGACACTATATCCTCGGGGACCCCGTAATGCCGGAAGACGTGGGTAAATAGGGCCTCAGCAGTCTGTAGGGCAGTAGGAAGACCCGACATAGGGAGAAGACGACAGGCCTTAGAGAACCGGTCCACAACGACCAGGATGGTGGTATTCCCCTGAGAGAGGGGAAGGTCTGTTACAAAATCCACCGAGAGGTGGGACCATGGTCGTTGTGGAACGGGTAGGGGCTGTAACTTACCCCTGGGCAGATGTCGGGGCGCCTTACACTGGGCGCACACCGAGCAGGAGGAGACGTAAACCCTCACATCCCTAGCCAAAGTAGGCCACCAGTATTTAGTGCTAAGGCAATGCACTGTCCGGCCAATACCCGGATGTCCTGAGGAGGGTGACGTGTGAGCCCAGTAGATGAGTCGATCCCGAATCTCGAGCGGAACTTACCTCCGACCCTCAGGACATTGTGGAGGGCTGGGGTCGGTACGCAACGCTCGCTCGATCTCGGCATCGACCTCCCACACCACCGGTGCCACAAGGCAAGACTCCGGTAGTATGGGAGTAGGCTCAACGGACCTCTCCTCTGTGTCATACCGCCGGGACAGTGCATCTGCCTTGCCATTCTGGGACCCAGGGATGTACGTGATTTTAAATACGAACCTGGTGAGAAACATACTCCATCGAGCCTGGCGAGGGTTCAGTCTCCTCGCTGCCCGGATGTACTCCAGGTTCCGATGGTCAGTCAAAATGAGGAAAGGGTGTTGAGCCCCCTCAAGCCAATGCCTCCACACCTTAAGGGCCTGAACTACAGCTAACAGCTCCCTGTCCCCAACGTCATAGTTACGCTCCGCCGGGCTGAGCTTTTTGGAGTAA